CCAAGTGACCCAATGAAGAGGTAGAGCCCAGAGAATCCTAAACAAGCAATAAGAAAAAAGATTCTAAAGGAAGACAAAGGGATTAAGAGTTTTAGGATATAAATGATCAACAAAGGCAAAACCAGCTAAAAGGTTTAGTAAGTTATTCAGGGTAGTGGTATGAAAAGAAGATAATATACTAGGTAGATGACAGAGAAGCAAGAAAATACAAAGATAAGTATTGAAATAGAAAGAAATGAGAAAAATATACTTTATTTTCTCTTCAGTCCCCATTTCTTTATTCTCATTTTTAAGACCTAATCTTAGGTTTTTGGTTAATGTTAATTACACCAGGAAATAAGAAAAATATTTATATTACAAATATTCATATTAAACAATTCATTTTTAAATATTTTTGTTGCTAATATTATGAGAAGCTATCCTTACTATACAATAGTATAAATCAGTGACTTCAGAATGAGAAACAAATACAGAGAAGTGACAAATTACAATCCAAAGCAGGCTACAAAGAGTCAGCATTAGAATTTAAGTTATACATGCTCTGGTCCTTACTTTAGCTAAGGAGATACTTGATTCTTATTTAAAGTCCCTATGGGAGCTTTGGTGGCATAGTGCCTAAGGCATGTGACTGCTAACCAGAAGGCTGGTGGTTCAAACGCACCAGCCACTCCTCAGAAGGAAGGTTGGGCAATCTACTTCTGTAGTGATATCGCCCCGGAAACCAAAGGAGGGGTCGCTATGAGTCAGGTTCAACTCAGCGGCAGTTTGGTTTTGGTTGGTATAGGTCCAGAACAGTAATCTAAATAATAATAATAATAACTAGAGCTGAGTTCTTACCACTAGTTGTACATTGCAAAAGTAGGAAAAACTTCACAGTTTTGGAGAAAAGGATCTGTTTACAAGTTTCTGCTGCTATTCAAAAATAGAGCATTCCTGTGAAGCCTTTTGTAGGCCAAAATGGCATAAAGTAAAGAAGTAATTACCATTAGTTTATATAAGAAAAAATTTTGAGCATTCCCAGACCCAAAAACTACCTAACAAATCATACCAATTAACACATAAAACCTAAAATAATGCTGTTAACATACAGTGTTCACAGACACATTTCATAGCTATGATGGCTTGATGCTGAGATGTTGTGTGTAGTTAGGTCCCAGGGAAGAAGCTTGGCTATACCAGTGGACACCACACTTGCTGCTGGGGGTGCTTGCTGCCTCTTTAATGGCTTGCTACAAAACAAATGCTGAATGCTGGTTTAGCTTTTTGCCCTTTTTGTAAAAGTGAAAATCCTCTTTGGATTTCTTTCAGTTAGAGAAAATAGGTACTAATGTAGGCCTTTTGTAAAAGTGAAGTAGCATAAAGCGAACTTTTGAAAAGCTGGGGATACCTGTATACCATATAAATAATGTCTTATCAAATTGTTACAGAAAATGTACAAATACTAAATATTTAAACATTACAGAACAATATTGTATAGAATTTAATTTTAAATGAGCAATTCAGAGTCGTTCTGCTTTTATGGAGCTTTTCATCTCTAAATAACCACCAGTGTATCACAGCTTCTACACTGTGTAGGGCAATATAGTCACTGTACAGTTAAAAATGTATGAATATTATATAATTCATAAATTTTGTACATCGATGGCAGGCTAGAACCCCTATGTACATAGCTATTCTTTATAGTACATAAAAACCAAACTCACTGCCATTGAGTTGGATCCGACTCATAGTGACCCCTCCTTGGGTTTCCAAGGCAGTATCACTACGGAAGTAGATTGCCCAGTCTTCCTTCTGAGGAGTGGCTGGTACTTTTTGAAATACCAATGTGTTTAACCATCAATATCAATATCAGATAGCTAACTCTTGCCAGATAACTGCTATTAATTAAATGCCAATTACTTGCCAGAGACTGAGCTAGGCACTATTCATACACATCTATTATTGTCATTAACTGGGTAATTATTAAGGAGTGCTGGTGGCATAGTGGGTAAGGCATTTGGGTGCTAACCAGAAAATTGGTGGTTCAAATCCACCAGTTGCTCTGCAAGAGGAAAATGAGGCAAGCAATCTATTTCAGTAAAGATTTATACCTTTAGAAACCCAGTGGAGGTTACAATGAGTTGGAACCAACTCTCTGGCAGTGGATTAGTGGGTAGGTGGTGTAGGTAATTATTACTGCATTTTATATATGAGAAAGCTAAGATTTAAGTGACTTACCTAACACCACACAGCCATTAAATGTGCAAGTAAATTACTTCAGTGCTCTTATGAATAATATTAGAATTCTCATTTCAGGAAAATCTCTTTTATCTTTTTATATAATGAAACGTCTATAAAGCTTAGAAAACTAAAACACACACACAGTGATGAGATACAGTACTATTAGAGTCATTCAAACAATAGGACTTCTCTACCGATAGATGGTAATTTTTAAGACATGAGTCCTTAATTTATACATACTTGACTCTTCAGATCCATTTAATGCAGAAGGGTGCTCACTGAACAAGTAAGCGAATGATAAGATTTGAGCTTGCATATGTTCAAAAAAATGTCCTAAGTTCTTTTATTACCACTTATTTATTTATTTATTTATTCATTCATTCATTCCCTCAACTAGTGTTTATTGAGTACCTACCATGTACCAAGTATGGTTATTGATATTTAGACTACAAACAACTTGTTCTCACAGATCTTGCATTATTTTATAGAAATGATCAATTTGAATTTGAAATTAAAATTCTTATTATAAATCCTGAAACTTGATGTGGGTGAATACGGTTCTTTGTCCATAGGTATTTTGATTAAATACAACAACTGTGAACTCCTATATCCATACATACTACTGAACAGAGTAAACAAAATTATGGAGCATGGTAACAAAATGATAAAAGAGGAAGGAGAGAGGGCGTGGCAAAGGAAAAATACACATTATTCCATACAAGAGTTCTACAAAACTTCAAGGAACAGATAATTCCTCTTACATAAGTCATTTCACAAAATAGAAACGAGGGAGAGATGTTCAACTCATTTCGATGAAGCTAAAATAATGCTGACTTTCAAACCACAGAAGAATAATATGAAAACTAAGTTTATAAGCTTATATTATTTGTTAAGCTCTGGTGGCATAGTGCCTAAGGCACTTGCCTGCTAACCAGAAGGCTGGGGGCTCAAACCCACCAGTCACTCCTTGGAAGAACAACTGGGCAAACTACTTCCATAGAGATACAGCCTTGGAAACCCATAAAGGGGTAGATATAAGTTGAATCAACTCGATGGCAGTGAGTTAGTTTTTTGTTTGTTTGTTTGTTTGTTTTTTGGTATGTTACTTGTGAACATAGATACAAAACTACTAACTACTAAATAAATACTAAAATATAGATTTTTAAAGGCTTTAAATTCCATAGGTGTTTAATAATAATAATACCCCTCATCAATTTGGGCTTATCTAAATAGCAGACAAATGTTTTAACAACAGAAAAATCTAACAATGAAACTCAGCACATCCATAAACTAAGGGGTGAAAATCACAGGATTATCTCAGCATATGGAAGAAACAAAGTCAACAAAATTCAACACTCATTTATGCTATTAAAAATTACCAGGAATCTAGGAATAGCTAGATAAAGAATGTTTTTTAAACATCTATAATAAACATGAATTAGAGAGAAATTTTAGAAACATTATCTTTCAGACAAGGATGCTCACTATCACCTTACTAAACAGAAAAGTAATAGCAATCCTGGTTAATAGAATAAAACAATAAAAAGAACAATGATATACAGATAGGAAAAGAAACAAAACTGTCATTATCTGCAGAAAATATGATCAACTACACAGAATACCTATCATAAACCAAAAATCAATTATAACTGAAAAAAAGGAGTTAAGAAGGGTCTCCAGAAGTGAGATCAATTTACAAAAATTGATAGTGCTCCTTGATACCAATAATAACTAATTAGAAAATAAACTAGAAAATGCCAACAAAAACTGTAGATATTTTGTTATTAATGCAAAAAGAATGCCCAAGACTGTTATTTAACACAACAATATAAAAGCTTAATTAAAGAGTTTAAAAGAAAATCTTGTTTTTATATTAATTGGATGACAGCATTTTAAAGCTGTCAATTCTTCCCAAAATTTATCTAGAAGGAGAGAGAGGAAACTACTCCGTTTTTCCTAAAACTCTGAGAGCCCGTAACAAAATATTCAGGCCATAAAGTTCAAAGACCAGTGTCCCAAACTGTCTGGAGTAATGACTAAGTGACAATATGTTAAACATATCAAAAAGGAAAACAGATAACAGATAGGGAATAAGATATATTGGAACATATTTAAAATAACTAGATATAAATATCATTGAACTTTTTACCACCAGAGATATCAGTAATGAGCATCTCTCATCAGTTTCTCTTTGTTGTTAATTTAGTTTAATTTTCTGATTGCCTCTGTATGTGTCTGTGTGTTTACATAAAAGTATACTCCCAAAATGGAGAAAGGAGTCATCTCCTAAAATTTTTATTAATAACCATTAATATTTTTCCTACAGAGGTTTTATTTTCCAAATTCCTTTACATGACAAAAGGAGTAACTGTACTCAGGACCAAAAATATAAAAGTTTATTTTAATGAGTAAAGTAGCAGTTTTTTTTTTTTTTTTTTTTTTTAAGTAGGGTACTGTTATTCAAATAACTACACTGTTAAATTAAGAACAAAAATTTGAATGTGCATGTGACTGTTTCTAATCACCTAATACACTGACAACTGATGGAAATCAACATTACTAACTTTAGCTACAGAATATTACATGACAAACATAAAAAAAGACTCAAGAAACAAGAAAGTAGTTGCTTCCTTTTTTTTTTACCATTAATACTCCTTAAACACAAATATAACTTCCCATCCTTTACTCTTAATAATAAACAGAAAAGCTAGCAAAAACGAGAAAGCAGAGTTCTGAATTCAATATATATCTTTATTAGGCAGAGCCAGATAAAGACTCACCAGTACAGAATAAATGTGTAGACATCGATAAACAGGAGAGAAATCCACCAGATCTTGGGCCCCCGGTACCTGAAACAAAACAAAAATTATCACAATGTATTAAAATAGCCAGTAAGAACAAATTCACTTACTTTTAGTACTCAAGTATAAAAAAAAAAAAAAGAAATTCAGCTCTAGCTTCTAAAAGAGAAACACAAAACAAATAAAACCATGCTTCCAGAAACCCAGTTATGACATTTCACTGTAGAATCTGTATCTGTGAAAATACACACCAAGGCTGAGACAAAGCCCACAAGGATGGATACCAGAGGATAGAAACAGGTAACACTGGTCCTACATCTGCTTTTAAACCTACATCTTGAACCATGGACCTCTGTTGTTCTTGCTGCTGTTGTTGTGAGCTGTAGAGTTAATTCCAACTCAGTGACTCTATGAATATGGGCCTCTAAAGGGAAAAGTAAGAAACATGAGGGAATGTAACTTAGATGGCTTGACTTTGTCTTCTTAGATACATGGTGGTTTACATAAGAAAACTAAGTATCAATGATCAAAAATAAAACTTGTGTACACAGTGAATTAACTGTCCTGTCAACCAACTTCTGAAGAGAACAAGAATCATTGAATCCTTAGGTCACTATCCAATCAAGGTACAGAAACATACTAGGAAGAAAAGTGTTATCATATGAAAAATAACAATAATATATGAAAAAGCCAAACCTAGAAGTAATATTCAAAAAAAAAAAAAAAAACCCACTGCCATTGAGTTGATTCCAACTCATAGCAACCCCATTAGGTTTCTGAGGCAGTAAATTTTTACAGAAGTAGATTGCCCAGTCTTCCTTCCATGGAGTGGCTGGTGGGTTTGAACAGCCAACCTTCTGGTTAGCAGTCAAATGCCTTAGGCACTGCACCACCAGAGCTCCTTAGAGCTTAGTAATATTAGAAGTAATATTAGCAGATTATAATGTGGATAGTGCATATATATTAAATCTAGACATCAAAGGAAAAGGTAAAACAAAAGCACTTGAGGGAAGAATTGGAATACAGTCTTGATGCTGAAAGTGATTGCTATATGACTTGACAATGAGCAAGTCACAAGTGAAAAAGGAAATAACAGTTGACTTACAGAGGGCACTAAAAGTGAATGGCAAACAAACAAAACAAAAAGCAAAAATATGTAAAAAGAAACAATCAAACTAAAGACCCAGTAGAAGTTTTCACTGTAACTGTCATGTCCAAGTTGGGCTAGGCTGATTCCTGATAACAAGGACAGTCTCCTTTATTTCATAAAGTAAATGTTATTTCTTCTTTTGCTGCAAAGCTTCTTCACTAAGGTGATTTTCCTAATGAAATCTATCCATTCTACAACTGAATAGCACAATACCTACTTTCTTTTCCTTCTAAAATCATCATATTTCTAAATTCATTCATTCAAATTCATTGGCTGCTCTGTTCATCTGCTCTGCATACAAGCAGGCAAGATTACATCTCTATGTTTAAGAACCTCAAAATGCTATGTACTCACAAAGCACTCAAAACAAAGTGTTACGTGAACCCAAAGACTGATGATAAGGAAATCAAGATGCTACCTCATGGTCCAGGCATGATTTTATTTAAAAAAAAAAAAAAAATGAATCACTCACCAACCATTCTTTAGAAGAGATAATGAGCACTGCAAAAACATTTTATGAAAGATGGGCACCATGTAGTTCAAAAGTAAGATAAAAAGTACGTAATAATATTAACTTTCAGAGCACAAAGGGACATTCATTTTCATCTTAATAACACAAAAAGAGTCAAGAGGTGATAATTTCAGAGATTCTCATTTAAAATAAGCACAAGATTAAGCATCTTTATAGTCCTCCTCTTTGAGTGCTAAGTGGAGATTTAGAGCAAATTCATTTTTCCTTGCCAGCAAACTAGCAACTACTAATGAGAGCTACAACTAAGTGAACCACAATCTCAAAAGAAAAAAAGTTTTAAGAAAATTATATTTACAATAATATTTATGCTACATAACAACTATAGCCATTAAGAGCAATTCTAATTACTGATGTTAGATGGATCTTCGCTGAAATCAAAGAATATCAGAAAGATGTTTACTTATGTTTTGTTGACTATGCAAAAGCATTCAATTGTGTGGATCATAACAAATTATGGATAACATTGAGAAGAATGGGAATTCCAGAACACTTAATTGTACTCATGAGGAACCCATACACAGACTAGGAGACCGTCATTCAGACAGAACAAGGGGATACTGCATGGTTTAAAATCAAGAAGGGTATGTGTCAGGATTGCATCCTTTCACCATACTGATTCAATTTGTATGCTGAGACATAATCCAAGAAGCTGGATTACATAAAGAAGAATGTGGCATCAGGATTGGAGGAAGACTCATTAACAACCTGTGATACACAGACGATAGAACTTTGCTTGCTGAAAGTGAGTATGACTTGAAGCACTTACTGAGGAAGACTGAAGTCTGCAGTATGGATCGTACCTTAATATAAAGAAAACAAAAAGCCTCACAACTGGACCAATAAACAACATCACAATAAATGAAGAAAAGATTGAATTTGTCAAGGACTTCATATCACTTGGTTCTACAATTAACACCAATGGAAGCAGCAATCAAGACATCAGAGGACATATTGCAAATCTGCTGCAAAAGACCTCTTTCAAGTGCTGAAGAGCAAAGATGTGAAGAGATGCCCAATCTTCCATCCCGGGAGTGGCTGATGGGTTTGAAAGGCCAGCCTTCTGGTTAGCAGTCAAAATGCCTTAGGCACTATGCCACCAGAGCTCCTCCTTGAAGACAAAGGTGCGCCTAACCCAGGTCATGGTATTTTCAATTGCCTCTCATGCATGTGAAAGCTGAATAATGAATAAGGAAGACCAAACAAGAGTTGATGCTTTTGAGTAGGCGTTGGCGGAGAATGCTGAGAGTACCATGGACTGCTAAAAATAACTAACAAATCTATCCTAGAAGAAGTGCAGCTGGAATGATGCCTGGAAGCCAGATTGGCCAAACTTCGTCTCATCTACTTTGGTCATTGCAGTGTAGTAAATTAGTTTGTGTGGCTTTTCTACCCATAAGTCTTTGTAAACTCCAAGGTGGGATTTGCTATGAGCAACTGAGGAGCTCCTGATTGCTGAAGGTGTCCACCTGGAGTATTTCTGTTGGGAGTGGCACAAAACAATATTATGGGAGGTGCCCACTCTCTCTCAGGTGCTT